TTAAGAGTTTTTTTGCATGTTTATAGGTTTTAATGCAATTTTGAACTTTATGCAGTTAGTTATTGATATTAATCAGATCTTTATTATAATGTTAAATCTTACATTGCATAATGTTCGGTCTTGATTTCTATAGAGTATATGTAAATAAATTATAAATATATTCACATTTTTAACTAAAAATAAACGGTTTTTGTTTACAATTATATATATTTTTTTTGTAAGAATGATTATATTTATTGTAACATATTTTTGGGGTTTTATAATTTTCATTAAATTTTTAGGGAATTTTTCACACACAATATTGCCCGCTGTAGTGCGATAAAGTGACTTTATTGCCCTTCAACAGGGCGAAAAAGTAACTTTATCACCTTAATATTTAAATTTCATATTTAGCACCTAATATTTCCCGTTTGTGGGTGTTAAAGTAACTTATCGACCTTTGCTTTTAAATAAAATGAATAAAATTGAATAAAATGGGTATCTTATGTGGGAAAATATTTTTGCAGTGGTTTTTACTTTTCCTAGTTTATTTTTAATCAATCAAAATAAATTTATATAGTTTTATGAATATTTCGCGACTATAATTCGCGAAAATTGTTTTTCATTGTAGCACTACTCAATATCAGGTTTTAAGAACAAGTGAAATTATACAAAACAAAACTATTCATTGTATTATGTTAGTTGACCAAATTTACAATGAGAAAATTATTGTTCATTGTAGCACTACTCAATATTAGGTTTCAAGAACAAGTGAAATTAAACAAAACAAAACTAGTCATTGTATTATGTTAGTTGACCAAAGTTACAATGAGAAAATTATTGTTCATTGTAGCACTACTCAATATCAGGTTTTAGAATAAGTGATATTATACAAAACCAAACTATTCAATGTATTATGTTAGTTGACCAAATTTGCAATGAGAAAATTATTGTTCTTTGTACAACTACTCAATATCAGGTTTTAGAATAAGTAATATTATACAAAACCAAACTATTCAATGTATTATGTTAGTTGACCAAATTTACAATGAGAAAATTATTGTTCATTGTACCACTACTCAATATCAAGTTTTAGAATAAGTGAAATTATACAAAACAAAACTATTCGTTGTATTATGTTAGTTGACCAAATTTACAATGAGAAAAGTATGTATGTTTATAGGAAAATAAATCCACAAGCAAAATTAGCTTAATTTGTAGTTTATATAGCATAATGTGCAAAGATAAATTTTTGCAAACAGAACATTTCTGCTTTTACCATTACAATAAAGAATGTTAGCAGAACAAGGAAAAATCTAAGCAGGAAAATCAAAGGGTTGTATATTTTCTAAATAAAATCAATCCCCCCATCTTTGAAAAACCCTTTTTCCCCCAGAAGTTGGGTAAACTTCAATGGAATTTGTACTTGTAACGTTGTTTTTGAGACTTTAAAGACACAAAAACTCACTCATATCCAGGGCGAGTATTCCCTTATAACCAGCGCACCACATTAATACACGAGTGTTATGTTTATATAAGCTTTATTGAAGTAGTTTATCCTCAATTTCAGCTCTCACACTGTGAACTGAAATTAAATTATTATAATATAACAAAATATATATGTATATGTTTACAAAAATTTGCTCCAGGTCTCAATAAAGAAATTTAGTTTTTGAATCACTACAAAATCATATTAGTAAAATATTCAGAATTTAGAAACACACTTACAAAGTTGCTCGGGCTGGGGTCTTGATATGAGCTACAGTTCAGAGAGAGAATATCTTATCCTTCATTCAGAGTCTTTTCGAGTCTAAAAGAGAATTCTCGGTGAGAGTTGATCGACAAAAGATAAGCTTATAGGTCACTTATCATAATATTAGCACAGAAATTGCAGTATACCTTTAGGTGCAATCCTTAAAATCCTGTTCGTCAAGATCATTATATATATTTCTCGTGTATATGAGTCTCACCTTAACAGGACACGTCTAAAGCATATGACTTCTCAACATAAGTCCTCGAAATCTGTGTTGTCCAGTCGGAGGCAGCTCGGTTAGTTCAATCAGTACTCCGAGTTGTGGATCAGAGGAGGTAAGCTCACATTCTCATGCTCAGGATGATGATCAAGAAGAATCATGATGGTGGAAGACGGCCAAAGGAATCTAAAAGAGTTCTGAAGATGGAAGACGACATCAGAAGACTTCTCCAGGTGGAGAGTATTTACTCCATCAGCTCTATCAGACGGAGGAGTATATGAACATCAGGGTTGAGACGGTCCTGAATACATATATTTAAGGCATCTGCATGTGCATAATATTACCGATGAACATTCCAAGGATCAAGGTTCAAAGTCTATTTATGATTTCGCATGGTTCACCTGAGTTTCATTTACTCGACGAATGAAGATTTGTGGATAAGGTGATAGGTAAAAGATTGTAGGATGATGTTGTAGGTGGTAGATTTTTAGGGTGGTTGTAGTTAGGGAGAACACGCTTAATCTAAGATCTGTATCACCATTATATAACATCATTACATATATCAAAGTTTTTCTTTTTTAGCTCAAGACCCTTATTTTTATCATTGGGAATAATCTTTTAAAAGATGTTTTATAAACCTCGTAAAAATGGAGACCTGGAGACTTAATCGGGTTATAAATATAATCAACCCATTCTTCGTCTGAAAAAGACGATATATAGTTTTTTAAGTTTAAATTATTCTTTCCAAATTAAAATCATTATTATACAAGCTAAAATCTTTACTTTTTAAATTAAAAACTTTCTTTCTTTTGAATTCTCAATAAGATAAAGAATTTTATATAAAACAGCTCATGATTAACATTTCTCATGGCTTGATAAGATTAAAAGAATATATAGGGTTATATAATTCAGAACATTGATTCTTTAGTATAAGGATAAATAATCAAGAATTTTAGAAATGTAGGAGAAAGTTGGAATTTTCATGTGTAGTTTCAGTTTCATCTTTCTCCGCTCCAACTTCTTCACATTCATCACAAGGATTCTCCAGGTTTTTCAGAAATCCTGAACATTGAAAGTTTATTAGAATTCTTCAAATTCCACAGAATTTACTTCGCTGAATTTGGGAAGATAAATTGTGAAGGCTTAGTAAAAGTTTCAAATATTTTATCATCACTATGTAAACACTAAACATACACACCTCACAACCCCCTCCCCCACCTAAAACCACAATGTTTATTCTATGCTTTAAGAATAGTAAACTTATCAAGATTACCTTTTATTTCTGTATTTTCCAGCTTTATATCATCTTCAGGTATATAAACAAAACATTTATCCTCTACAGTTGAAGTTATCTCAGATTCCTTGAATCTTATTCTTTTTTCATAATCTCTGCCATTCTATCTGAAAAATAAATAAACATATGTGACACCATTTCCTTCTATTAAAATGATAACATGTCTGTTCAGTTGAGATCATTTGATTTATGTTTATATGTTTATATGTTTATATGTTTATATGTTTATATGTTTGCATGTTTATATGTTTATATATGTTTACATGTTTATAGGTTTATAGGTTTATATGTTTATATGTTTATATGTTTGTATGTTTGTATGTTTATATGTTAATATGTTTATATTGTGATGTCTCCAAGGACACCAAGATTATAAGAATATAAGGGTATTAAGGAGAATACAGATTATTAAATGATAACAAACAAACTCTATTTGTAACAATCTATTAGACTGCATTTTTAGTATTTTTTTTTTATGATTTATATCAGTCTTTATTTATAGATTTTTTACGCTTTTTTCTTAAGCTTTTACAGCTTTTTTTCATCCTTAGGAAAAATGAGCTTATCAATTGAACCAATTCCTATTTTAATTTCCTGCTATTGAAATAGATACATATTTGGTGCATTAAATTTAGTTATAAGAATTAAGCGATTTTGTTTATACCAACAAATTATAGAGAATACACAAACAACTATTAAATTTATTTAAGGTAAGTTTTCAAAATGAAACAAAAGATTCAAACGATTAAAATCAAAAATAACTTACAATTGTGACATTAAGATTAGAAAATTTTAATTATGTGACATAAGTTTCCACAAATTTAAAACCAAAAAAATAAATGGTTGATAGCCCACAGTCATGGTAAGTTTTTGTGCAATTCTTTTGCAGCATTATCAGAACAGAGATATCTGAACTCAATTATGTTTTTTTTCTAAATGTTTTTTCAGAGCTACTTTTTGAGTTGCAGCATATTTACATTTAGGACATGCATATCTCACCCCTTCATGCTTACTTTCAACATGAATCTTCAGATGACTTGCTGTAGTAGCGGGATGTTCACATTGAGGGCAAGGATATCTAACTCCTTCGTGTTTACTTTCAACATGTTTCTTCAAAGCATTTGCTGTAGTTGGGGCATGTTCACATTGAGAACAAGGATATCTCACTCCTTCATGTTTACTTTCAACATGAATCTTCAGACCACTTGCTGTAGTAGCGACATGTTCACATTGAGGACAAGGATATCTGACTCCTTCGTGTTTTCTATTAACATGTTTCTTCAGAGCACCTGCTGTAGTTGCAGCATATTCACATTGAGAACAAGGATATCTCACCCCTTCGTGTTTACTTTTAACATGAATCTTCAGAGAACTTGCTGTAGTAGCGGCATACTTACATTGAGGGCAAGGATATCTCAATCCTTCATGTTTACTTTCAATATGTCTCTTCAGATCACTTGCTGTAGTAGCGACATATTTACATTGAGCACATGGATATCTCACTACTTCGTGTTTACTTGCAACATGTTTCTTTAGAACAGTTGCACTAGTTGCAACATACTCACATTGAGAACATGGATATCTCACTCCTTCATGTTTATATAAACTATGAGCCTTCAGGTTACCTGTTGTAGTTACAGCATACTCACATTGGAAACAAGAATATCTCACTCCTTCATGTATACTTTTATCATGTCTCTTCAGATCTTGTGCTGTAGTAGCGGCATGTTCACATTGAGCACATGGATACTTCACTCCTTCGTGTTTACTTTCAACATGAATCTTCAGAGCACTTCCTGTAGATGCGGCATATTCACATTGAGGACAACAATATCTTACTCCTTCATGTTTACTTTCAACTCGTTTCTTTAGATGATTTGCCGTAGTTGCATGCTCACATTGAGAACATGGATATCTCACTCCTTCATGTTTATATTCAATATGAGCCTTCAGGTTACCTACTGTAGTTGCAGTATACTCACATTGGGAACAACAATATATCACTCCTTCATGTTTACTTTCAACATGTTTCTTCAGAGCATTTGCCGTAGTTGCAACATACTCATATTGAGAACAAGGATATCTCACTCCTTTGTGTTTATTTTCAACATGAATCTTTAGATGACTTGCTCTTTTTGCGGCATATTCACATTGAGGGCAAGGATATCTCACTCCTTCATGTTTAATTTCAACAAGTCTCCTCAGTTTATCTGCTTGAGATGCAACAAAGTAACATTGAGAACATGGATATTCATATTTACTCTTCTTGATTCTTTCTGATTTTGGTTCGATCACGTTTTCTCCTGAATAATAAAAGTTTAAATAGTAATCTTTAATATAAAAAATAGAGCGTTGGAACATATGTGTCTGTTTGCAACGGTGTGTACTTTATACTTCTGAATAGTTAAAAATAAACATTAATTTTTTATACTTTTAAGTTTTATTTTGCTAAACTGGCAAATATATTATAAATAAGATTTTGCAACATAACAGGTAATAAATTTTGCTTGAGTTTATTACTTCTAGACGTCTCAGCCTTTTAATTTTTTTAAATTAAATAAATATTAAGTTGAATAAAGATTCAGCAAGATTCAAACAAAGAATTGAACAAAACTTGTTTATAAGAGGTTTTTATACAATACTCTCCTTTAACTTTTTGATGTGTTTGTGTTTTTGTTTGCAACCGTTGGTACTTTATTCAGTTATTAAAATTAATCAGATTATATTGTGTTAAATCTTTCATAAATCTTACATAAATCAATAATGCTTCGCCTTGACTTTTACAGAATATATGTAAATGACTAAAACTGACTGGTTATTTATTAATTTATTTTTTATTGATAAATTATAAAAATTATGCAGTCAATTAATTATACAGTGTTTATAAGTTAGAATCATCCTAGGACACTGATTTTATGTTTGAGAACTCAAAAATTTGTATTTTACAATGTTCATGCATTTCTTGTTTTGAAAAGATTCAAACAGAAGTGTGGGTTTGCGCGCTTTTGATAAAAAATCAGATTTGTTCTCACACTTACGTAGTTTTGACTCAGAATTCAGATAAAAAGTAGCGTGCGATGTATCAAAACATAGGTAACTTGGGACAAGGAATTCATTTTGAACCAAAAAATGAAATTGAGAAAAAAAGATAGGCGGTGACAATATAACTCTAATAATATAGCCACTAACAATTTTAAGACCAACAATTTAACTGACAAATATGTAACAGACCAAAAATAAAACCAGTATAGACCAATCAGAAATATATAGACCAAATATATCACCATTTTGAAACTAAAAATGAAACCATTTTTGTTTACAATAATATATTTTTATATGAGAATGGTTTAAATTTATTGTATATATTTATTTAAAAACAGTTTTTGTCAAAAATTTATAATCAAAACATACTTTTTTGGGTTTTATACTTTATAGTTTTTTAAATATTTCACGACTATATTATTATTATTATGAACAACACTCAATATCTAATTTTTAGAAAAAATAAAATTAAACAAGACAATGTATAATGTTAAATGACCAAATTTACGATGAGAAAAGTATTTTTCAAAAAGTTTTAAGTTTATCCAATTCTTATTTGTCATACTTATTTACTGTAAATCTTTCTTCTTCTGCATAAAAATTACATTAACTTTTGCTTGCAAAGGTTAAAAAAGATATTATTTCTGTATTTATTGTTTTACAAAAATTCAAATTACCTGAATCAAAATCCTCAAATTCATCTTTAATGATTAGCTCAGTGTGAAAATCAGGATCAAATACAGGCTTATTCTCTACTGTTTCCTGTATCTCAGTATCCAATACATCTAAACATAAAAACAAGTAATTAAAATATGTGTTAAACTAATTAGAATTATAAACACACCCTTCCTACCTTTTGGAAGAGGGAATAATGACCCCTGACCACGAACCTGATTATGGAAATGTGATATAAATAAGATGGATGTACAAAACTGCAATATTAGAACGCTACCATTTTTTTAATTCAAACTATTTTATTGATTATGAAACATCTAAGTTTCTTGCATGAAAATGTGAAGTAATTAGGTTTACCTTGTATTTCTGTATCTTCCATCTTTATATCATCTTTGTGAAGAATAAAAGTACATGTATTTTCTACTGTAGAGGAGGGAAGGAATTCTTCCTTTATAGAAACTATCTCTTCCTTTATCTCAAACTATTCTATATTTAATTCTTCTTTAATAATCTCTGCCATTCTATCTGAAAAATAGATTCAGCATTCAGTGAAATCTTTTTGAAAGAACTTCTACAAAGTCTCAAAAGAAACAACAGGGTCTATATCATCATAAAACATATTCAGCTGAATGCCAACAACAGCTGATCCTAGATGAAAGACGACATTTAAATTCTTTGGTTATACATGAAAGATTACATTTATATAGATTGTAGGGTTTGTCAATAAACATGGGAATTGAGAGACGACTTGAATTTCGTCTTTTAATTCTGATAATTCATAAATTGCATTATCACAAAAGATTGAAATTCGTACAGCTTTCTAAAATGAGGTCTACCTTCTTTGTATCTTTAAAATTAAGGAAGATTTTGTTGATTTTTACATAACTGGAATCTGAACCAATTTCTAATATCTCTTTCAATTTTGAAGGTGAAAAAATGACAGACCACATTGTGGAAATCCTGAGACTAGTAGGTTTTGGTGTTAAATGTTTTAACTGCAGTTACTAAAAAATCATATTTACGAAATAATCCCGCTTGGAATAAAGACGACATAGAAGTGGTCATTTCTTTCCCATGTTTATTGGGACACCCTGTACAAGCTGTAAGATAATAATGAGAATTTTTAAAAATATTATAAAAACATGTGTTCATTCATGAAGTTTGAAATTTTGGACAAAAAAAGGAAGGAAGAACAAATGAAAATAATAAAAAAAATATTGTTTAATTCTGCAAGCATAAATTTTCGATTAACTCTTTATTTTAGATGAAGTGTTTATCATTTGAATCTGTCAACTGTATTTACAGAATAATCATAATAACAGAAATAATAATTCAATATTTAAATCTAGTAAAATTTATATATATCCATCCTTTCTGTAAGATATGCCAATAATTCCCTCTTAACTTTACTTCTTGTTTCTGGATTTATGATTT